CAACAATACTCAATTCAATTACACACTCTCTGACTGCAGTTCAATTACTCACTGTTCCGTCACATTGTGACCATCTTATATATAGCAAACTACCCCCAATCTAGTAGTCTCCCGATAATTCACGAAGGTTCGAGAAGGACGTGGCATGATACTAGTCACGTGACCTCGCTGACGCAACAGTATATTAAAAGTTATTACTTACAGTGGGAGCCTTCTTTGTGTAATACATTCACACAGTCTGCTGAATTTGTTGTCATTGGCATTTATTATTTAGTTGTACACAAAATATATTCTGAATAACTGAACCTCTGATTCCCGAGTGCTTCTGATTCACTTTAAACGTATGAATTATTTCATTAAAATTGTCTCTTTTTTTTATTATGAATGTTCTAGGCTTACACGTGTCATGTCATTTTTAATCCACCTTTGCCAATCAAAATGTCAAAAAACGTTTACACCTTGTAGATAACATTTAAAAACTTGTTATAAAAGTTTATGAAAAAAGAAATAAGGCAATATGGAGTTATATCACGGACTAAACCTTCTCAAACTGTGAAGCACTCATAAACCATATTTATTTTAATAATTATCATGTTTTATGATGGTCCTTTAATGAATTGTCTGACAGTCTTTTCTTCCATTACTCATTATATGGGGGTGGTAGCCATTATGACTGTTGTAAGTTCCAAACACTTCATCTTCACAGTTATATTCCATGAACGTATTTTGTCCTGGTTGATTTGAGTAGTTTTCATAGGCATATATATATTTAGATGGTTTTGTTATGGCTCTGTTAAACTGTACACTTCTGGAATATTTTCATCTTCAGTTACAGTACTCTACACAGTAACAGCCACCATGAGATGGACCAGTACTCTATCCAATCCTCATACAAAGAAGGGGGGCTGAGCATGTAACCTACTAGGAGCCTTCGTGAACGCTAAGGTGGCATGAGAACACTATGTATGAAAATATGGCAGGTAACGATAATGTATTCCCAGTAGTGCTTGGGTACAAAGATTGTTATAAGCAGGGCTTTCACATTTATCTCTATTTATTTATTTATTTTTTCTGGTGCATGAAACTCCAGTTAATTCAGTGCCATTGTTCCAGTCAACAACTTGTTTAGTTGCTGTATGGCATCAGGTAGGTGTTGTATTTTCACTAACAGTATCAATGGGGATGCTTTATAGCTAGTAGTCAGTTAGGTGACTCTTTCCAATCTTGTGATCACAGTGATGATTATTAGTAGAGCCTTATCACAACTTATAGTTCAAAGAGGCCCAAATTTCATCTTCATTTGTGAGAGCATGTCAAGTCCTTGTACATCATGTTTGATGGGCTTATAGTGCCTGTAGAATGTGTCTCAATTTGAAAGTGACATGATTTCGTTCCATGGTTTTACCAGCTTAAAGTTATGCATAAGTCTTCTTAACATGCAAACGTTTTTTGTGCATGGGACAGTTTTATACATGTCAGCTGAAGTTTATTTGTGATGTTTGGCTGTTTTAGGATTTTATTACTTTCTTTTTACACACTAAGTTGTACTAGCTTCCAGAAAGACCCATCCACCCCCAGAAAAAACATTCAGGCCTCAGCTAACCTATTGCTTTTTTACAGCCACAGGTAGGTACATTGCCGTTTCTGGCCATACTGATGATAATTAGACCTCAAAATATATTCTTACTGATTGTGAGGGAATCTCCCAATCTCTCCAGTTCAGATTCTGCTTGCACAATTTACTTTGTTTGAGATCCAAATATTAATCCACGTGATTGCCATGCATAGTGACAAAAGCATTTGAGTGCTGCCTTGGTTTGGTTAATACTCTGATTGAAACTTTACCCAACACATTTCTTTATTCTTCAGTTCCTTTTAACAGGGTCCGGCATGACCAGATGGTTAGGGTGCTCGACTCGCAATCTGAGGGTCGCGGGTTCGAATCCCAACAAACATGCTCGCCCTTTCAGTTATGGGGGCTTTATGACGGACTAGCTGCCTCCCTCTAGTCTTAACATGGCTAAATTAGGGACGGTTAGCGCAGACAGCCCTCGTGTAGTTTTGCGTGAAATTCAAAAACAAAACAAACAAACAAATCCTTTTAATAGATTTTCTGAATTGATCCTTTAATGGTCATTCAGCTAGTTCATAGTGGATCTGGTCTACTGATAACCATTGTTGAGCTTCACCTTCTGTTAGATAATGTCAGTTTTGGCATCGATATGATACTCTCTTCTAGTACTCTGTTTTGTGGGATTAGTGGACACTGATCTTTAATTTTCTGCAGAGAAACTTATGGCTTGTAAATCATTAAGCTAGACATTAAAAAAGACTGTTTTATTATTTTATCTAACAGCAAACCACTGCCATAGTTCCTAATTATCTGTTCCCTGTCCGATAACTCTAAGTATGATGTTTTATTTCTTTATCCAGAAGGATCACAGGGATTTGCTAGCTTCCATAGGGCAAAGGTCCGCAACAGACCTTGAATGTCAATCATGAAGTCTTTCTTAAATGAGAGCATCTAGTCAATGATTTTGACTGTATATATGGGAATATAGGATAGACAGTCAGTCCTATAGGTTATCTACTTTTTTAGTGTTACTAATTTGGTTTATGTCACTATCTTATCCTTACACTATGCTTCCAAACTGTTATCATTGCTTCCAGTATCCCGCTTGGCATTGTGTTTTCAGTGTAATCTATTGTTACTTTTGGTCTTCGTACCCAGACACTGTTGAGGGAATTAGGTCTGTCTATTGAAAGAGTTGCAGTGGTTGGGGATCTGCTAATCCTACCATGACTGATTGTTGTTTCCTCCTTTGACTTATTCACGAGTCATATTAAAAAGTTGGATAATATAAACTGAAAATTCTTACTTGCTTGCCATGGATGCTATTCCCACTATCTAGGTAAACGTCTAATTTATACTACCAGAATAGTACATTCTGGTAATATTTCATCAACAATGATTATATTAAAATTGGTTTCTCTGTTTCACATGTTTTTCCTTATTGTTTTTCTTTTCCCCTCGTTTTCTTGCTGAAAATTAATGTGTACAGACAGTTACACCCCTGAAACATGTTGAGCTATCTTTCAGATATTGTAACTGTTTTTAGGTTCTAAGTATTTAATATATTCCATTAAATTAATGTCATGTGTGTCACTGATGGCATTGGTCCGTTATTTCTCAAGGCAATTCTTAGTAAGACAACAGAACAAGGTGTACATTCCACATTCTTTCACAGGGAATTTTCTTTTTACTCATTAATTTTCTGTTAAAGTTCCAAAACTAATGTTTATTTGTGTTTTCTATGTTGACCTGTTCTCTATTGTCATAGCAAAGCATTTGAGATCAGGTGGGTAGCAAAATATGTAACATGCTGTTTGGAATTAGAAGCAATATGTAAGTATAACGATACATAATTCCTATGTTATCATCACATGAAAATTAGGAAATTCTTTGTAGGTCTGAAAGATTGAAATGTTTTTATTAATTTTATGGTTCCAGATAAAGTTATCGTTCTTTAGGAAATTAAGGCATTACTGACTGATATGTGAATGAGGTAGGTTCAGGTACAGTAAACATATAGCTGTGTGATCTTTGTTAATCCTGAGACTGGTTGCGGTGATATAATTAAATTTTGAATCTAACCTTTGATCTTCGAGTATTTATAACCAACAGAAAGAAAGACAAGGTTTTAATATACTTTTTCCGTATAAGGTTAATTTTGACGACAGTATTTGAATTATTTGGCCTACAGATTTATTGTTGCTGTTGCCTAGTTCACAGCAACCACTTTCACTTAGTTAAAAAACAGATGATTTACAAGGATTATAGAACATTGTTTTCTGTGTGCGTAAGTTTATTTTGTGTCCCAAGTTGCATATTATCACCATTATTAGGGCTAAGTTCAACCGGGGCCGACAGAAAAATTGCGGTTACAAGGTTGTCATTTTGACCAAGCGCGCAAATGAACTTATGAAGAAATGACCCTTTTTCGCTCGGCTTCCGATAGTTTGACGAAAATTTTTTTAGTTACAGTAATTGGCAGGTGAGGCCACTAGGATACGAATAACTAATATCCTATGTTTATCAGTGTTGACCAAAACGAAAGCATAATCGTGATTATATTAGCGATCATATTTTATATAATACGGTGAAAAAATGTCGATACATCAGTTACTATATCAATCATTGTATCGGAAAGAAAAACATCGTGATATATATATATATATATATACTTGTACCTTAATGTATTGTATCGTGATCATACCATCGACATAACATATGCTTTCTTGAAGACCATCCCGAGACCCATCCCTAATCATCAGTTTGTTAAGTAATGGGTTCGCTACATTTGTAGAGTTTCCAACAGCCAGAAAATTTGGGCACTTTGTATTCAGTAAGTTAGATAATGAACTTGCTACATTTGCAGACTTTTCAACATTGAGGAAACTGCTATCTCATCATAATGTTACGACAGCGGAAGTCGCGTGACGCTGGTGACACGTGATGAATTTCTCGTGATGAGCGGGAAGGCCCGAGTTTGTTCGAGAAGCTCTCTCTTTTTTTTTAATATATAAGCCTGGCTGAAAAGCCTGCGGGATTGAATGAAGAGAGTTCAGGGTAATTTACGATACTGTTTCGAGCTAGTGTTTTGCACTCGTAGAAAGCGAAGTTATCGAGTTTGTGAATCGCTGTGATTTATAGTGTGTATTATAAAAGTAGTTAAGTTTAAAGTAACGAGAAACTTACTGACTATATCGAGAAAGAATAATCAAGAAGGGACTTGTATCGCTTAAGTTCCTCGGAAAGGATTTATACCGGAAATTAACAAACAAGCAGATACGCAACAGTAAGTAGATTAAGTGGATAACGTACTATATCTGACTATGGAATAATTTAAAAATGAGGCGATGAAATATTTAGTTCTATTTCGTTAAGTATGAATAAGCTTACATTATAAATCTATAATATATATAATGTATAACTATTATGTCATTTGTCCTAAATCTGTACAACAAAACTTTAATTATTGTATAGTAAATTTGGTATACATTGTATTTTCATTACATTTGAGAGTTCCATGTTTTTGATTAATCCTATAGTTCTACAGTGATGACGTACATGTTATTCTTACCCTAATTAAATTCAGTAATAATTTTTACATTTAGTTAATTTATTCCAAGCACAGTAAATTTATTAATGTTGTGAAACGTAAAAATAAAGAATTGTAACGACGTTTAACATCAATACAGATGACCACCCATGAACAGAAGCTACAACAGCTACACCAAAAAGGGTTCTTCAAATGGCGTCCAGAAATGGAGATGGGGAAGAGAGTGAAAGAAATCGAAAAGATTCTCCTACGTTGGGGGGAGGAAGACCCAGACGTTAAACTACTGTCGGTGTTGTTTTTAGGGTACATCACAATGAAAGGAACACCCAGGGAAAGTGATGCTATAAGTTATGGAAAAGCTAAAGAGTACATTGATAAAGCAGTGTTGTTATCAGAAAATAATAAGAGTTGTTTGTTTCTGGCACATTCTCTCCTAGCTCACTGGCACGACTGTCTGGGAGAACAAGATGAGTTTGAAGTACATTTCACAAAGACACAATATTTATTGGAAATAATACGAAATGAACCTCGCGAAAAAGCTTGGCTCTTTACAGCTAAAGGGTTTGCATTACTTCAGGCAGGACCTACAAAATTTGATACAGTGGTCAAATTATTTGATAAGGCCACAGAACGAAACCCCGAAGAGCCCTTGTTCTATTATCTGAACGCTCTGACTTTGGGAAGAAAGCGTCGTTATTTGCATGAAAGATCTGTGCCCACTGATGATGAAATATCCTGCTTAGAAACAGCTTGTAATAAAACTAATAATAAAAACCTAGATTATCTGAGTACTTACTGTTTCTGTTTGGCTGAGAATTGGTCAGCAGAATTTTGCAAAACGAAAAACAATGATACATTTTCAGAAAAACAAAAAGAGAAGATTAAGGCATTTCTTAAGGATGCAGGAGAGGAATCTAATGCTTATGTTCTGCTGCAGTGCGCTAAATCTTATCGACTTTTAAAAGACTATCAAAAACAGAGACAGTTTTTAGAAAAAGCTAATGAGATTAGTAACGGAACGTATTCTGCAGTTCTTCATCGCCTCGGGCTTTACTTTTGGAGGAACAAAATAGACAGAAATATGGAAAACGCAAAAGAGTATCTCAAAAAATCATTTTCTGTTAATACAGGCGGCAATATTTTTGCAGAAGTTGATTATTTAAAATTGTTGAAAGAAGAAGAAGAGATAGATTCTAAGCAGTATCTTACAGAATTATCTAACATGCTAGAACGTTCCACGCTTACAGATATTAACAAAGCTTACTTATATATGTGTAAAGGAGAAGAAATGATGGTTAAAAAGAATGTAAGTGGTGCTAAACGTTGCTTTTGGGAAGCGATCATTTTAGATCCAGAACTATGTGACGTTAGAAACGCCAAAACTAAGCTGTTGGACATTTTAGAACAAAATATTAGCAAGAACCCACAAGATGCTGCTACGTTATGCGAACTGGGTAGACTTTATGAGAGATTAAAGCCTCAGGACATAACCAAAGCCATAGATCATTATAAACAAGTACTTTCTCTAAATTCAGACAACGAAGAAGCCAACTTGGGATTATGTCGTGTACTGTTAGCAAAGCACGATGATAAGAAGCTCCTATTATCAGAATGTTCTGAGATACATGAACGACTATCTCGCTTTAAAGATAATTCCGAGTTTCGAAAGTTATCTGGAAAATGTTTATATTTCTGGGGATCGTTACTTCTTCCAGACCATACAGAAGATGCGAAAAAAAAACTAACAGAGAGTGTTAAATTGGGTTGCATGAACAGCTGCAAACCACTGCTTTCCCTTTTAAATAAACTCGATTACACAGAAAGTGCAGTAATTCTGAATTGTTCTTCGAATGAAGAAGCGTACTGGTTATCTTACCAGTGTGAAATAACAAAGGATGAAATAGAAAGAAACGTTAAGAAGTCTCTGTTGATTGAAGATTCTTTATGTAGTACAAACAACTCAAGTCAAGAAATGAATAAAGTAAGAAAACTTAGATTAGAAATGGAACAAGCAGCAGTAAGCCAGAGCTATTATCAAGAAAAAGCTTCTGAGATTCTGATCGAAACAAAAAGCCTTCTTGATCGCACGATGAACCGATTTCAAGAAATTATTTATAAAGGAACGCATGAAAAGAAATCAACTTACTTTCCTTACCTGCAACCTCCCAAAGTCACCAATCATCCATCGGGATCTGAGCAAGATCTCATTAATTCTCCCAAAGCCACCAATCATCCATCGGGATCTGAGCAAGATCTCATTAATTCTCCCAAAGCCACTAATCATCCATCGGGATCTGAGCAAGATCTCATTAATTGTAAACTTGAAATGAAGTCGAAGTTTGAAAAAACACTGAAACACTGGAAACGTCAACCCCCGGGAAAAGGAGAAGTAGAATCATTTTCCAAAGAATTCGGTGATCTTTTTGAAATTTTATGTAAGCACCAAGCAGTTTACGATGAACGCTACTACTTTGTACCTAAATGGATGGAGATTCGTAACAAACAGACTCATGAGAAAATTAATAATCAAAATGAATTCACTTTGAAAAATGGAACAACTGTGAAATTATTGGATTTAGCTAGAAAAGCACACGAATACACCGAGAATATGGTAAAAGAATTTAATTCAGGATTGCCACCTTGAATCATACTGATTTTCCGTGTTTTTACAACACTTTTGGCATAATGGTCATTAGTATGTTTTATACACTTTTGGGACCGTTGGTGTATTATAAGAGTGACGGTCAAATCCCACTATTCTGTCAAACTGGTAATCCAAGAGTTGTCAGTGGGAGTTTGTGTGGTTTAAGAAACACAAGTAAAATAATTCAGTTATCTTCTATTCAAACAATAAGTGATTTACTATTAATTTTATTATAGGTGGAGAACATTATACAGAAATTAAATATTATTAATTAAGATTGTTCGTTTATCTCTCTCTGTGTATATATATATATACATATATACACACAATGCAATTTTTGTTGAATTCTGGTAAATTTATAAAGGTTTTGCTACATACCTTGAAGATGTGTGGGTGCAGTAGACATGGTTAACTTTACAGCTATATCTTCTTATTGTTGAGGACTATATTTTCAATAAAGTTTAAATCCACACTAACTGAACAATACCAAATTTAAATGGAAACTAGTTTGATGTTTCAATGTGAAATGCCAAAAGTAGTTCCCATTTAAATTTTGCATTGTTCCGTTAGTGTGGATTTACACTTTATTGAAAATTACTTCACATGCCATTGTGTATTTGCCTATTTTTTTAAACCTTTTAATTTGAATGTTTGCTAGAGGGCCCGTGACGTTAACACTAAGTAAGTTTGTCAGAATAGGCTTACAAGATTCTATATGACGTTACGAAAATCTAATAACGTTGTGAAGTATTGAGAAAAAACGCTACACCGAGTAAAGACAAACGGAGATCGCCTCGGAATTAAGAAGACTTTTTCGGACGTCACCTTCACCAATCTACGCCTTCTCCCAAAAGGAGTGTTGGGCATCAAGTGTAGCCACCCACGCGGCTATTCCAAGCTCCTATCCCACTGCCCAACAACAGCCTTCAGAGGCGCCAAGCTAGACATCTACATACCGGCCGAATCCAGCACGCCAAAGTCACTAGGAGTATCTCTTGAAAACATATACCCACCACGGAAGTCACAAAAAATTCGCACTCAAGGGTTTAAAACATCAACGGCCAAAATGAACGAGCCCCTTCAAAATTAGTCAGCTTCCCCCTACCCCGCATAATGGTCATCCTAGATGAAGCCTCTGATGGGACACCTTTAACGAAGAACGGTCTCATCCTATGGTATACACAGTAGAAGTGGCCAAGGTCTCGCCAGCGCCCATCTTTTAGTCAGTTTAATGCTACAACTGCCAGACAATTGGACACAACAAGGAATCAGCGCATCACGAGCTCGCTACTAAGATGTGGATAACATCATTCTGTTTTTGAATGCCTCAATGACTGCTAGGATAACGATTGTGCGAACTGTGGCGTTTCTCACGTAGCATCTTAACGGGGATGCCAAAAATATCCATAAGTAATGAGAATCGCCAAGACAGCCAGAACTCAAACCTCAAATGTAGCAGCAGAAACAATCAGTAAACAAGTCCCAAGACCAGTTACGACAGCCCAATCAGTAGCCTGGCATTCACTCAACATGCAAGCATCACAACTACACCAAACCCAACACTTCAGCAGGAGTAGAGGGGGCCTACGCAGAAGTTTTGATCTCAACAAGATCATCACAGAGATTCGCCACAACGTTAGACCACTTCAAAGCGTTCCTAGAGGACATGATCCTCAGAGCTACGTGTGGAGATCTACGTTCATCCGGAGAGTAAAGTACGAGACCTGTGCTGTGAACTACTACTACTTCGACCTCAGGAATTCCGACCCCGAGACCGTCGAAGCCTTAATCGAGAGGAGGAACCACCAGAGAGAACATCCTAGGTAATGAAAATGTAAATTGCTCCAATGTTTGCATGCCAATATCAAGGTGGCTTAAACAATAAAAATTTGAACTCTTTAAATATTTGCACTAACCTAGATATAGATAGAATCATCCTCAATGAAACCATTTCAAACCCTAACAGTAAATTTAATCTCTCCAATTTTAATATTCTCTCAAAACCAAAGTCACTTAATGCATGCGGTATAACACTTTTATTGAAAACAAAAGACCCGAAAGTTACATTTCCAGATAACAGAATAAATAGCATTAATGAATATATTCTGTTATATTCACCCACAAAATTCTGCCACTATAACATTACTAGCGATATATGCAGTGCGTTCTTTTTCTGTTGGAACGCACCGGAACAGCGTACTGGTAATTTTTAATGGATAGGCAGCAAATACAAATAAGACATTACTCAAAAATTGCTTCTTCTAATGAGCTCGAATGATTTTATTTATGCAATTTACATTACGTATAATCATCAGAAATGTTATCGCTAAATATCATCAGATATTCGATGACGAGGAACCCACTTTGAGACTAATAATGGTTCGAGACCTGATGTTGACAAAACCTTGTCGAAACGTTGTACATTTGCTGTTATGTTAAACTTATATTAAAGTTTTTCTTCATTACCCATTCAAGCCGTCTCCAACCATTATCATCAGAAATGTTACCGTATAATCCTCACATGTTATCGCTAACTACGTAGTAGTAAAGAAAGTAAACATTTTCCGTTTCTGTTGTATTGTTTCTTTGTTACTTGACAAATTGTTAAACATTTTTTTAGATTCGGATTTAGTGACAAATGGAAACAAAGCACTGAGTATATATATATATATCCCCTAACAGGCATCCGAGCATTAAACTATTTCAACCAGTACTACATCTAAATAGTCGAACAAAAGTACTCGGGGATCTAAACTCAAAATATAAGCAATTCATGCTTATCTCTAACGGGAACATACTACACTATTTCATAATAAATAATAATCTGATGATATTAAACAACAACATGCATACTCATTTTAGTACTCGTAATAAATAATAATCTGATGATATTAAACAACATGCATACTCATTTTAATACTCATAATAAATAATAATCTGATGATATTACACAACAACATGCATACTCATTTTAATACTCATAATAAATAGTAATCTGATGATATTACACAACAACATGCATACTCATTTTAATATTCATAATAAATAATAATCTGATGATATTACACAACAACATGCATACTCATTTTAATACTCGTAATAAATAATAATCTGATGATATTAACCAACAACATGCTTACTAATTTTAATAGCTCGCAAGACATTTTAGATCTAGCTATCGTTCTCAAGCTCTAATCCCACACGACTTTCAAGAAAACACTGGAGGAGACTATGACTCAATGACATTTAGTACAGAAAGTAACACCTGAAGGAGTCAGTCTTGCATCTTTCCCCCAACTATATGATTTCACAAAAGTAGCTTCGGGATGCAGTAAAAGCTAACACTAACTCTTTCCTAGATCAGTTTTGCCTTTACGCAAACTCACATACAGATATATATAAACAAGATAAATATTTTAATAACATCCGCTATATCTCAAGCAACATCACCAACCATTCCCACGTACCTCAAAATATCAACCATCGGAAACTAACACCAGAATTACATAAATTAATCCGAGACAGAAGGCTACTCAATAGGTCGTTCATGAACTCTCGCGACACGAGACTTAAACCGCTCAATAACTAAACCACCAACAAATAACGAAAGCTGATCAGAACCCAACAAGAATCCAACTGATTAGAATTCTCTAAATCATTAGACAGTACAAAGCAAGAACCAACCTAGGATACAAACCACATGATCAAATATATGAACGAGGTCGTGATCACTGATGACGAAAACGCCAACCATTTAATTAAGTACTTCAAGGAATCATTTGTAACACCTAACTCAGACACCTTCAGCCAAGAGTATTACGGCACTGTCAACAAGCACATTAAAGACAACACTCATAAGCGCACACCTAATTTCTCTGCGATTATCTCGGACTATAGAAGTATTACTACTAATGACTATAAAAATATATAGCACGCCCAATCTCTAATGCTGAAATAAGTTTGGTTTGGGTTGTTTTGAATTTAGCGCAAAGCTATACGAGGGCTATCTGAGCTAGCCGTCCCTAATTTAGCAGTGAAAGACTTGATGGAAGGCAGCTAGTCATCACCACCCACCGCCATTTTTTGGGCTGCTCTTTTTTACCAATGAATGGTCACATTATATCGACCTCCACGGCTGAGAGGGCGAGCATGTTCAATAATGTGGATTCGAACCCACGATCCTCAGCTTGTGAGTCTAGCGCCCTAACCACCGGGCCATGTCTGAAATAAGGATTCACAACAAAAAATTTAAAAAATTCAGCCCCCGGCGATGACAGCATATGTGACATAGTCCTTAAAAACGTATCCGATCTATTCCTTCAATCAGATTATTAGCCGAGTATAAAGGAAAATACAATAATCACAGTAATCTCCAAAAAAAAAATAATGAT